CTCACCGCCTCCTGCACCTCAAAAATAATAAGACCTCCCCAAAAATAAGGCCAAGTGTGTCAGGGTTCCAAAAAACCCTGACCCCTGTTCCCCCCAACAAAATAAAACTCAGAGACTTATGTTTCCTCAAAGTTCCACTTTATTAGAGATGTCATGTTGGCACATCTGGGAAAACCCGAATCTGAAAGCTTCCAAGTTTTCCCACCCAGTTGAAAGTTCAAGATCCTGCCCCCAACACCCACAAGTTCATCACGTGGTCCAATCTTCCACTGCCACGAAGACAGATCCACATCCGGCCAGGTGCAGAGACAAAAGTGACCTTGACTTTCTAAGAAGAATGTTATTATGGCTACATATCAGCCAACTCCATATAATTCCCCTCTCCCATTTTTCCACACTAGGAAGTGTGGTAGATCTGAAATCCAAAAAAGAAAAGATGGCTTGCAGGTTTGACCAAGTGCTTATTTCGGGGGTCAAAAAAATAATAAAGCCCTGTCTTACTTTCGGGGAGACACAGTAGAATCCAATCCTTGTTATACTCAATGGAAACCATTTGAACTTCATTGTCCAAGCCAACAAACTTCCTCTGTTTCTTTGTAGCTCTATCTGGATGGGCCATTTGGAGAAGGACACCAGGAATGGAACAAATTTGAGGTGTCAGTCCTGGTGGGCGGTGGCATTGGAGTGACCCCCTTTGCCTCCATCCTTAAAGACCTTGTCTTCAAGTCTTCCGTTGGCTCCAGAATCCTGTGCAAGAAGGTGAGACTGGACCAACAGAGGTGTGATTGGGCTTCTGTACACCACTCACCTGCGATTGTGTCAGTGTTTGTGTTTAACATCAGGTGGTACGACTACTTTGACGATGAACTGCGCTACTTGAAACAGATAGTGGGGTTGTGGGATTTTGCTATGTGTGTTACATCTCACATTTCCTGACACTTACAGATGGGGAAAGACGGGCTCATACATTACATTTTATCTAGGCGGTATTTCCACTTTTCGACAATTCTTTAAAAAATTGTTTAAAAAAATGCAAAAGAACTGTACTGACCGAGGCTTCCCAAGAGCAGGAAGCAAACTCCTGTTCCCCTTTTCTTAACTTATTGTGAATTCTGCTCATTCACATCCAGCAAAGTCTTTCAAGGGAGGATTTACAAGCACAGACCTTATCTGGCTTGGANGCATTCTGGACTAGCTGAAGTCGCCGGATGCTCTTCAAGGGCAGCCCCATGTAAATAAATTGTTCTTTGAGGGATGTACCTGACCTGCCTCGGAGTTCTACTTTCTATGGGTGCATTATTTGGAATGTTGACAGTATCTATATAAGTAGATGATCAGTTGTGTAGGCGAAATCATATTCCTTAGGAGTTGTGGACTTGTAATTCATCGTATTTATGAAGATCTGTGGTCATTACCCTTCTCTTGCTGCAAGTCATTTTGTCACCATAGCAGAATAAGACGCTTCAGGAGGAAACTGAGCTAAAAGCTACAAGAGATTCAGGAGTCTGGAGAACTTCAAAATTTGCTTTCTATTGCCTGGTTAATCTCCATAATTCAACTCCAGTGTACACATTCAGAATTTAAACAACCGTCAGTCCCATAAAAGTGTAAACACCCTTCAACTAGCTATCTCTGCAGCTTTACTCTTCTAAGTTTTATGGATTGATTGATTCATTCATTCATTCATTTACTCCCCACCCATCTCACTATCAAGTGACTCAGGGTATCAATGAGGCCGGTTATCAGCATCTGTCTGACCCAACCTTCATTATTTCCATTGAACACATTATAAATAGCCCATTATGTTGTTGATTTGTTTTACTATGTGTTTTCTGGCGACCTTGCAAGAACGGGCTCTCAAACAAATCCACGTATCACTGCTGTGATTTATAGCAGCAAAGTCCATGAGAGTGATGCCACCAGCATGAGCGCAGTGGAAACGCAGACTTCTGGGATGGCTCCATGAGGCTCAAACACCTCTGAATATTCCACCCCAAATTAAGAAACAGAGATGTAGAATATTACAGTAGAAGCAGCCATGTTGGCTTTGCCAGACCAAATCAAGTTGCTATGATGAAAGAAATGATCAATGTACAACAGAATAAGGGAGTTGGAAGGGACCTTGGAGGCCATATAGTTCAATCCCCTGCTCAAGCAGAAGACCTATAACATTCCAGATAAGTGGCTGTCCTTAAAAGCCTCCAGTGAGGCTCTGTAGTTACGACAGTTTCAGTGTCCCAGGAACATGGGGTCCCCTTTTGCGACCTTCTGACAAGCAACGTCAACGGGGAAGACAGATTCCTTCACGGCCGTGTTACTAACTTATCAACGGCAGTGACTCACTTAACAACTGTGGCAAGAAAGGTCGTAAAACAGAGCAAATCTCTCTTCATAACTGTCTTGCTTAGCAAGGAACCCGCTTTTCATATTTTGGGAGTCTCACAAACACTCTTCCCAAAGTTGGTCACTATTGTTTTTTTTTAATGGTCTCCTGATCGAAATTTGCCCTGCCAGTCAAGATTTTCCTGAGCTATGATTTCCCATTTTCCAGATTGACCTTCCCAGAAGCTCACCTCTACACGGAGGCGCGGAGGGAGCGGTACCAGAGGAACATAATCCACCAGAAGATCCAACAGTTCAAGAGGTTCATTGAGAACTTCCGGCGCCACATTATCTGCGTGGTGATATTCTCGGCCATCACCGCCGGCGTCTTTGTAGAAAGGGCATACTGTGAGTTACCAGCCTACTTAGCACCACCGAACCGGCTGCTCAGCTCCAGAGCTGAGGCGGCTAACTTGATTCAGAACTCGGCATCCTCATGCCATGAGGAAGGCGAGGCGCCCGTCTCCGGGCCAGGCAACCAGTGGCAGTCACCACTAAGCATACCACGTACGTATCTCCTTGCAGCCTAAAACTAATGCTGGTGTAAAGCAAGACACTCCCGCTGCAAGTAGAGCTGTAGTAGTGGTTAACAAGAGAAGTTTGTTGCCAAACTTCCAGGTATGGCTTTTATAGTGGCTGTTTTGGTGACACAGATCTATAGGCGATGGTTCGTAACATTACTGGCAAGGCTGTGGTTGAACCATTGAAGATCTGAGTATCTTCCTTGCAATCTTACTGTAACCTAACCCCTACCCCCCCCATTGGACACATAGTAGAGATCTGGAGGGGAGCTCCACATCTGTACACGTTGCTATGTGCTCCCTAATGCCTTGGACCTCTTTGGTGTTGCATTGCCATGCCTCGTCTGGGGCATGCAAGCATGTTGATCATCTGAGCATGTTGGAGGTGAGATGCAGTTATGGAAAGGCAGATGTCTCTTGAGACTGCAGACCTGTGGGTGGGCTTCCTCCAAAGCTTTGCCCAAGGACCCCAGAGCTTCTGCTCAGAAGTGTCTTCTGGATGGTCATTTTCATTGGATAGACGTGGTGGACATGGAGGGACCCCATGAATGGTGCCTCCTCCGTTTAATTTCCCAACCCTCCCATTGAAACAGAAGCAGCGTTGAATCCAATGGGGTTGTAACCTGCTCTCATTGAGTTTATTCTGAGTCTGCCTCCTTTCTGGAGCACAGCTTGGTCTGCCAGACACCACCGGAAGGACACAAACAGGTCTCAGACTAGGAAAAAAAAGCAGAGTAACCCAGTTAACGAAGAGTTTTGTCACAATCTCAGCCTCCAGGACTCGCTCAAACCATTTGTTTTGCAGATTATGGATTTGCCTCCCCACCCACCGGAATTGCGGACACCACCTTCGTGGGCATCCTGATCTCTCGTGGGGCTGGTGCCAGCATCTCCTTCATGTACTCCTTCATCTTACTCACCATGTGCCGGAACCTCATCACATTCCTGCGAGAGACGTTCTTCAATCGCTACATCCCTTTTGATTCCGCTGTCGATTTCCACCGATGGATCGCGACGGGAGCTTTGATCTTCTCAGGTAGATCCAAACAGAGGGAAACCAACTGAATCCTTGACTGGCCAAACTAGAACGTTGCGATCCTTTGAAATGGTTTGCAACTGGATCTGACTTGGAACGGAAGGGTTAATAATTGCTGAAATTAGAAACTCTCTGAATTACAAGTAGTCCTCGACTTACAACTACAGTGGGGAACCAGACTTTCCATTACTAAGTTAAGTGAGTCACACCCAGTGGTGGGATTCAGCCGGCTCGCACCTATTCAGGAGAACTGGTTGTTAACTTTCTAAGCAGTTCGGGGAACCGGTTGTTGGAAGAAATACACTTCTCCCAAAAATTTTGGCCACTACTGTACATTCCGGTTGCCGAGGATTTTGATCACGGTCATAAAGACGCATCCCAAGTCTCTATTTTCAGTGTGGTTGTAACTATGGACGGTCGCTGAACAAATCGTTCCAAGTCAACGGCTTCCTGGAGAACACCGCTTAGATTTCGAGGGTCAGCGTGATGGAGACGAAACTTTTTTCAAAATACCAAATCCTCTCTAATTTCTCACTGCTGCAACTGCACAATTGTTGGCAATGCATTTCCTTGCAAGTGTGCAAGGAAAATAATTGACAACAGTGGTGGAAATCAACCCCGGAACAATCTGGTTTTTCCAATCGAGGGGATTTTTCTAGCAATCTGGACCGAAAAAGGAACCGCCTAACACTTCCTTTTGCTAATCAAGATTGCCTAGTCTTTAAAAATAAAACTCACATCAAGGAAATTACAAATGTAACGCAAATACGAAGATAGGCGTGGAATATTTGTATTTTTGTAAATCCTGAAGCCCAGTTCAAAGCTTGGGTTTAACAGCTTGGGTTCTCACCATTCAGCCACACTGCTATTTACCTGTCCATTTTTCTGTGTCATTGTTTTTTTTATAGCGCTATATGGCCCATAATTCCATGTCAGGAAATGTTTATACTGTAGTTATAGGAGATGCGAAATTGCAATTAAATCTGGTGGCACAGATGCCTAACCTCACCTTCTTTTTGTTTCCTGCAGTTTTGCACACTCTGGGCCATGTTGTGAATGTCTACATCTTTTCCATAACCCCTCTCAGCATTTTGTCGTGCCTTTTCTCACACGTATTTATGAATGACGGGTGAGTAGAAAGTAAGAATTAGTGGTGGGATTCACTTACCTACCATACCGGTTCGCGAATGTGAGAGAACCAGCCAAATATCACCTCTGGTAAGAATGCAAAGACAAGTGGTCAGTGTTCCAAGTATCATGTAGAATTAAATCAGAGTCCAAGGCAAAACTGTCCTTAAAGTTCCAATTTAATAAAGCAGGCATCTTAGCACATCTGTGTTAATCACAATTCTGGAAATGACATCAGAATNAAAAAAAATATGTGATCAGGATCTACCAGTGCATTTTCTGAGAAGTCTGGCAGCTGCTCTACTATCTTTCTAAAAAAACATTAATCAGGGAATTGAAAGTCTGAAGGAAAAATAATTAGGAGGTAGCCTATGGGTAGCTAGGGCAATCTAAATGTAAGACAGCTGAATACTTCTTCAAGTCCCAATTCAGAGACATGTTTGACTTAGTACTAGAGTAGGAAAAGAAACAGAAGGTGGACAGAAGAAGTTATACCAAAACAATATAATAAACAAAAAATTAAACAGGAAGAAAATGAAAGAATGTGACTGTTAAAAAGACCCAATCATGGAAAGAGTACAGGAAACAAAACATAATTTGATCTTTCTTGCCTTACTAGCTCCTTCCATTTCAGGAAAGGTCGTCATAGGAAATACAAAACAGTGTACAAAAAAATACACCGACAATACTGCTACTCTTCAGAAAAACCTTGACTATGTGTCAGAGTGGTCAAACAGTTGGCAACTTCAAATCTCAACCAACTAATGCTCTGTCTTATACATCAGCAAAAAAACAAAAAAACAAAAAAAACCCGGACCACAAAATATCAGCTGGCTGGATACGACCTCTTGATGACCCCCACTCTGTCAAGGACCTTGGAGTATTCATCCCTAATGATCTAAGTGCCAGAGGCCACTGTAACAACATTGCCAAAAAGGCACTAAGAGTTGTTAACCTAATCCTGTGTAGCTTCTTAACCAGTGACGTGCGGTGAAGTTTATGGCTGGTAAGGCAAGCGGGGAAAAGCTGCTCTGCTGCCCTGGCGCTATGTCCGACATAGAGGCGGGATGCCTCTATGTCGGACATAGCGGCAGGGCAGCTTTTGCTTCTGGCACCGGGATGGCAGCTTTCTTGAAAATGGGCAAAAGTTGCCCTGCCGCCCCAGTGCTAGAGGCAAAAGCCGCCCTGCTGCTATATCCAACATAGAGGCGTCCTGCCTCTATGTCGGACGTAGCGCCAGGGCATCCAAAAGCCCTGCCGCTATGTCCAAAAGCCCTACTGCTATGTCCAAAAGCCCTGCTGCTATGTCCAAAAGCCCTGCCGCTATGTCCGACATAAAAAGTGCCAGCCCGCGCGGCAGCAGAGGCAGGTAAAACACACACACACATACACACACACACATTACTTACAATAATACAATTCCTTACAAATTACATTAATTTTGAATTCCTCCCCCTCCCTCCGACCCACATACCTTTTCCAGCTGTTTCACAGAGGATTTCAACTCTGCTCTTGTCAGCCATGATGAAATCCTCTGTGAAACAGCTGGAAAAGGTATGT